TGATCGACAGAAAACTGATCAAACTTAGTGAAAATACAGAAATAATCAAATATACACGTAAAATAATGTCACAAATATGATTTAAACAGAGCATAAAAGTGATGAAGCAAAGATGAAATTAGATTAATCAGAGCTCATTAAAAGCCCACCTCTCCCATGCAGAGACAGTGCAGAAAGGGAAGAGGAGGTGCAAAGACAGGAAATTAAGATTAACGCTGCTGTCAGAAATTTAAAGGGGAAGGTGCACACACGCACACACACACACAGACAGGCATATCAGGTACACATTTGAACATTTTTGTGTAATTCTGTTACACAAACACCCGTGCTGCGTCTGTTTCCAAGTTCTAGTCTCTTCTGTGTGTTTATGCCAGGATATGATACAGGCAATTTTTTTAACTATTAAGTGAAAGGAGGTGCTTCAGAAAAATTTGAGCATCACCCTCAGGAGGTCTATGAGGTTTGCCATTCCTGTTTAAACTAGTTCTCAGACCAATTAAATAATAGGAAAAATATGTTGTTTGTTTTGGGTGTGTCTCCTCTTACTCATATTATCTTGTGGTCTAAATGATCAGCTGTATTTGAAATGACTCTATAATCTGATTTTGCACAGTCACCATGATTGGACATTGAACATCCATTAAAAGAACGAGTAAAAAATGACTCTGTCCATTTGAGTGTGAGTGATTGTACAGTTTATGCTCAGCCATCCATCCTCAGCTATCCCAGAATCCCCTGCCCAGTTTGAGCAAGTAGGCAGGATAGGTGATTTGGTTCAAAAACATTTTTTGTTATGCTGGTTGAAAGTCTCTTCACATCCCGATAGCAATCACTAATTTAAGTGGTCTAACAGTGCTGCATTCAATCCTCCACCAATGTCATCTCTCATTGTGGCGCTGGTTAGCCTCTGGTCTGCCTGAGCTCGTTCATGTATTTTGGAGAAGGCGTGGCTTTGGAGAGTGATTTGCAGGGAGGGTGGGATCTTATGCTTTCAAAGCTAGCTTGCTATTGCTAGCCTCTCTGAAATCGCCTACCCTACCTTTAAGAAGGGTTGTGTTTTGAGTTTATCATCAACAGCTTAAAACTGTCAGAATTTATCCAATGTGAACAAAGTATACCAACAAGATTAATTTACTACAGCTTCTGTGCATTATGTTAAGAAATAGGCCTAAAAATAAATAATCATAGGCTTCGGATAGAAATAGTACCACTTTACGGAAGTAATTACAGGTTGACATTTGATGACATGCATTTAATATATATATATTTACAAACAAAATATTTTTTACTCTTGGCCAATATTTTCTTTATTCCCTCCACAAAGAAATCATAACATAGACTCTTGCCACTCTTGATATTTCACACTACAGTGTGGAAAAAATCAAGAACTCATTTATTTGAAAATCTACTGGCTTTCCATCATTTTACATATCAATGTTTTTCCAGTATTCAGCAACGTTACTGAAGAATGACAGTGTGAACTACAATCACAGAGTCCAGAAATTTACACATAGAAGTTTTAACAGTAGCCTACCATAGCAAAAACAACCTGCTGAATTCTATAAGTCAAAGAGAGTGTGAAAAATATGACATGGGACTTGAACAAATGGGGTCAAATCAAATGTTAAAACGTTAAATGTAAAACGTTATCTAAATGTTGCAAAAGACATCTATGACTAGACAACTTTTACTTGCCCCTTTTGCTTTTGAACAGAAACTCCACAAGCATTAGCATTTTAACAATTGATGCAAGATGTAAATTTAGAATAATACATAATATACTGAAAATTCCAATTATGCAAACCACATATCTGATCAGTTTTTTAGATTGATATAGATAAAAAACTTTATTGTCAGAGAAAGTCTGAATTTTTTGTTGCGTAATAGTATGTTTTTTTGTACACTAAATCTTTACAAACAAAACACAATTCACAATATAGACACAGTAAATGCAATAGAATAAAAAAAACACATAATTCCTGGAGTTTTCATTTTATACCGTATTCAGTTCTAGGACAGCTTGATATACAATAGACTGTTTGAATTTCACTCAGTTAAATCTTGGGACCTTGTATCGACGATTAGATGGTAGAAGCACAAATTCATTATACAACACATGACTAAGGTTAGAAACAATATTCTTGGTTAACCTTAAGAGGTTCTTACGGTAAGAAAGTTCATATAACTTTTTTTAAGAGGCTGTCCTATCAACCGATTTTAATTTGGTTCCTCGACTTTGTTTTTAGCTTAACAGACAAACTCATGAACTAAACTATATAGCGATGCTATAGAAGAACCATTTTTGGTTCCACAAAGAACCATTCAGTCAAAGGTTCTTTAAAGAACCATCTCTTTCTTACCTTTTTATAATCTGAAGAACCTTCTTTTGCCACAAAGAACCTTTTGTGAAACAGAAAGGTTCTTCAGATGTTAAAGGTTCTTAATGGAACCATTTAGACAAAAAAGGTTCTTCTATGGCATCTTGAAGCACCTTTATTTTATAAGAGTGTACTCTGCTACAACATTTTTAACTGTTTTAAATTCATTTTAAATCAATTTCTAAATAATTTTAATTTAGTTTTTAAGTTCCCTATTTTATTGTTGTGATTTTTTTTTTATGATTATTTTACTTCATTTTATGTAAAGCACTTTGAATTACCATTGTGTATGAAATGTGCTATATAAATAAACTTGCCTTGCCTTGCCTAATGTTTTCATTATGTATACCTACGGGTTTGTATATACAGATGTTGACCCCAATACAATTTCACACAATTTCACACTTTACAGCAAGCCTGGTTTTAGTAAGAGATGTGGATTTTGTCTGTCTGTTAGTTGGTGAGGTTGTTTGCTCTGCCTTTCCCCTCCTCAACACAGAGTGGATCTGCTGTCTGCATTGAGACGAGCCGTAGTAGTACAGCAGAGGGTCCAGAAAAACACTTGAGCTCCCCAAACACACAGCCAACAGGTAAGCTGCATATGATGAATCTCCCTCACCGCTGTTGAATCCAGTAGCTAAAAGAAAACAGTGGTACAATAGGGTGCCATTGGTTGGTGCAAAGCACACCACAAACTCAATCAGCACAGCGATAGCCATAATCACTGCCCTCCTTCGGTTGTCTGAAGATGAGGATGATGTTGTAGCTAAGAGATTAGACTTTACATGGAGCACATATATGATGGTGGAGTAGCTCACTAAGGTGATGATAAGTGGCACAAAGTAGTAGACACAGGAGAGGATGGAGAACTGGTACATGTACTGCTGATCTGTAGGGTCAGCATGGATCAGTGCATCATGGCAAGTGACACCTATATCCTTAATCTTAAATGTTTGTCTCATTGAGAGAAGTGGTACCGTACCAGTGACTGCCAGCAGCCAAGCTAATGTGCATATGATTGTTGCTTTCCTTGTGCTCCTCCAGGTCAGAGAGGCGATGGGAAATGCCACAGCCAGCAGCCTGTCCACACTCATGCTCATCATCAGCAGTATGGAGCAGTACATGTAGCAGTAGTACGCTGCACTGAGCACACGACACACCGCCTCACCGAACACCCAATCTGAAGCGTTCAGCTGGTAGTGGATCATCAGAGGCAGCAGCAGGGTGAAGAGCAGGTCCACACACGCCAGGTGAGACATGTAGATCACAGCTGGTTTCTTCTCTCGGATCCTACAGGTGAACGTCACCATCGCCAAACCATTCAGGGGCAAACTAATGAGGATGATGAAGATGTAGAACGAGGGCATGAGGCGTGTGACCACTGGGCCTTTAAGGAAGTCAACAGTCTCGTTTGAGATGGACAGTGAGGAACAGTTGAGCTTTGCTTGGTCCAAAGTATAATTACAGTCTTTTATAATACCAAAACTGCCTAGAGATCTGTCTGTAGATTAACATACAAAAGCACAACACCATTAGTGAGAGTTATCAGGGCATTTCTAGACTTGCATCAATACTGGAGCACAGGCCACCAAATATTTTGATGTTATGAATATATGGATATCATTTGGCTTTCCCTGAAATACAGAATCTGCATGCAAGAGCTGCTTCATCGTTGACAAACGAAAGATGACATTTGCAAGTTTTGTTTCCTACAATGGACTGTAGGTAAACCACTCTGGCAATTTTGTAGAATTGGTAGCTAATTCGTGTAAATCTCATTTGTGCACTTTAGTATTAAGTCTTTGGCCCACTGATGAGTTTTTGAGTTTAGGACCTTTATGCTTACTTATTTTCTAAAAATAATTTTCATACAAATCACATCAAATTAATTCACACGAAATGGCCATGTAGCCTAAATACGCACCTCATCCGGCGCTTTTGGTTTTCCGTCTTTTATAGTATCACATTACTATTTCTTTGTTGACAGTTAACTGTCTGAATAAATCAAACTGAAACAAACCTTTTTGCAATCCCTTTTGATGAATTAGATCAAAATATTAATTTACGAATCTGCCAAGTTATATTGAACAGTTCAGGGCTTTGCAAATCGCCCCGGTTACTGACATAATCTCGGTTCCCTGAGATAAGGGAAGTACTCTGTACTGAAACCTGATTTGTTCACATTGTGTAGCTGCATAAACCAATGGCACTTTAGCCCGGCAGAAAGGGCGGAGCCGACCGCTATATAAGTCGGCTCGGAGCGCCATTCATCAGATCATTCGACTGAAGGGACAGTCATTGATTCGCGTGCAGCTTATGGCACGGCACGTGACTCAGTGCTTGTTCCCTTATCTCAGGGAACCGAGGTTACGTCAGTAACCGGAGTGTTCCCTTTCGAACAGTCTCTCCCATTGCGTAACACGCATTGGGGAACGCATCCAATCACGCCACGCTATGAGCAGATACAGAACAATCTGTCCTGTGAGCCCAGTCTCTGAGCACTAGACAAGGACTCCCAAGAACATGAGCACACTGTGCTACAAGCTAGCAGCTGATAAGCACAAATATAACCAACTTCGCCCAAGGGGGAAGAATGGGAGTTTAAACAGAGGGAATCTGTGCCTGTAGTGCAGGGACATCCAAATGATCAAATCTGGCAAATGTGGACGGCGATGACCAGCCGGAGGCTGCACAAATCTCACCAATAGAGATCCCGCTGGACCATGCCCAGGAGGAGGCCATCCCCCTTGTGGAGTGGGCCCTCACACCTATGGGGCATTGTAAGCCTTCTGAGGCGTAAGTCAAGGCTATCGCATCTACAATCCAGTGAGAGAGTCACTGCTTTGTGGCTGGCAGTTCCTTCTGGTGGCCTGCAAAGCAAACAAACAGCTGCTCTGACCGTCTAAACAGGCTAGAGCGCTCTAAATACACTCTCAGTGCCCTCACTGGACAGAGCAAATTAGTACCCTGCTCACCATCTGTAATGGGGAGCGCCAACTGGGTGATCACCTGTGCTCTGAATGGAGTCGAGAGCACTTTAGGAACATAACCATGTCTTGGTTTCAGGACGACCTTACAGTTGTTAGGTCCAAATTCAAGACACGAGGCACTACCTGACAGCGCTTGCAAGTCACCCACTCGCTTAAACGATGCTAAGGCTAGGAGGAGGGCTGTTTTAAGCGATAGGGGCCGCAATTTGGCCGAACCAGGCTTGGTTTCTCCAGAGACGGGGCCACTAGGAGGAGTGAGCACTTGGTCTCCCTGTACCGCCTGACGACCTGAGGAATCAGGGCGATTGGGGGGAAAGCGTACAGGCGAACACTGGGCCAGTTGTGGGCCAGAGCATTTCGCTGTATCAAAAAGTATGTTGGACAGTGAGAGTTGTCTTCTGAGGCGAAGAGGTCGACCTCTGCCTTCCTGAAAACAGCACAGATTTTCAGAACCATTTGAGGATGTAACACCCATTCGCCTGGGGCTACATTGCCTCTGGACAGGTTCAGACTGCCCGGCACATGCAAACCGCCCTTAACGAGAGGAGTTCTTTCTGTGCCCACAGATGGAGGCGTTGAGCCATCCTGTAAAGGGAGTGCAAACGGAGCCCGCCCTGGAGATAGGAAGGAGATCAGGGCTAGGAAAACCGCCAGCATTTCTAGGCAGTTGATATGTAGGCGTTCCCCCGGGGCTGACCAGGAGCCGAATGATACGTTATAACCACCTTCCTTCTGGAGGTCAGACCCAACCACACGCCTGTTTGAAACAGGTGGGGGGTTGTCCAGGGAACCACAGCTTTGACACAGCGGTGGTCTATTCTGTCACAAAGCCGTCCCAGGCGACAGGCGTGGGGTGGAACACGGGCTTTGAGCCAAAATTGAAGTGGCCGCATATAGAGCAGGCCTAGAGGTATCACAGAGGCGGCAGCTGCCATGAGACCGAGCAGCCTCTGAAAAACCTTCAAAGGACGTGTCGTCCCGGGTTTGAAGGATGCCGCCAATTGTTGAATGGTCAGGGATCGTTCCGGTGTGAACCATGCTTACATTCAAGCAGAGTCTAAAGTCATTCCCAGAAAGACAGCCTGCTGTCTGGGCAACAACTGACTCTTCTACGGGTTTATCTTCAACCCGAGGCGCTCTAAGTGGCTGAGCAACAGCGTCTTGTGAGCAACCAATTCCCGTTCTGATCTGGCTAGAATCAGCCAATCGTCAAGGTAGTTCAATATGCGGATTCCCATCTGTCTCAGAGGGGAAAGAGCCTCGTCTATGCAAAAGTGCGCAGGGCCAGAGACAGTTCAAACGGAAGGACTGCATACTGATGGGCCACGCCCTTGAATGCGAATCTCAAGAACGGTCTGTGATGGGGGGTATGTGGATGTGAAATTGCGCGTCTTTCAGATCACTGTCAAAAACCAGTTCTCGGGGCAAATGTGCGCAAGGATCTGTTTGACATTTAACATTTTGAACGGCCAGCGCATAAGCGAGCTGTTCAGATGCCTGAAATCCTGAAAGGGTCTGAGCCCGCCATCTCTTTTTGGGACGAGGAAGTAGCGGCTGAAAATCCTGACTCGCTGTTCGCTGAGGTGTACTATCTCCACCGCACCTTTTGCAAGCAGTGTCTGCACTTCCTGTCGGAGAACGTGAGCTTTGTTGTCCGAAACAGAAGTTTAAAAACTTCCTCTGAAGTGAGGCGGCCTGCAAGAGAACTGAAGCGAGTAGCCTTGTTGTATTGTGTTTAGAACCCAACTCGACACGTCCGTTATGGCTGCCCAGGCCGATAGCCGGAATGCGAGAGGATCTATTTTTTTCGAATAAAGGCTTGCTGCGGGAGGGCGGGGAGCCTGAATTCGTGAGTGAGAGAGTGTGAAGAGGAAATTTGCTCTTTTGAGTATGTGGGTCCACTATCACAGCGGTAAAACATTCGGGTACGCGCTGCACCTGCAGGACGTGACCCGCGGAGGGCAAAACTCCATTGCTCAGAGGTGCAGTGTGAAAGCGAGCTGTCTTCGGGGGAGTTCCGGCCGAGCCGAAAACTGAACCCCTCCTCTTCCTCTCTGCTGGATCATGTTGGCTTAGGAGGCTCAGGGTCCAGCACTACTCGAGGGAAGAGAAAGCGTTTCGCCATCCGGGGGCGCTGCTGAAGCCCGGGCTCAGACTTCCGCTGCGGCTGAGACTGAGGCTGCGCTGGCTTTGCAGGCTGAGTGGCGGAGGGCTTCTAGCGACTAGCAGTCA